TAGAGCTCCTTTTTTTTTTTCAGTTGGCGTTAGTAGGATTCTTCCTTTTTCTGGGCATGTTCTCAATTTTTTTTTTTTTATTTCCTAGGTTTGAGCCCCATTTCACTAACCCCAGAGATCTATCCTAGCTTTTGATACAGGGCTTGGTTATTTGTTCTAAATATTATTGTTGCTATACCCTTTTATTCAGAGCTCTAAACTAGCTTTCTCCTTGTAGTGGTGATGCAAGGTAGAGTGAATTTGAAGTATCACTTACTTGTTCGCATCCTCAGAACAAAGCAGCTCTCCAGAATAACCTTTGTTCTATACCTAGTTTAGAGAAAAATGGTCATTAATTCAAGAATGGTCATTAATTCAATTTCACAAAAACTGAGAAATAAGACAGCACAATATTGTTAGAAGCACTATGAAACAAGAAATTACATTGCAAAAAGGCAATTTCAAGTATTTTCGTGCTGCTTCATGTGTAAAGAAAAGGAATTAGAGGAAAAAAAAGCGCAAACTTGCTCTTCTAATCAAGGCTTTCTTTGTTTTGGTACTAGTCTCTCCCTTGTTACGGTCTGCTTTCCAACTGCTTATTTTCTTTGTAGGGGTGTTGCAAAAGCAAAACAGGGGTGACTGCAACATTTGTTTCCCTTGGTAGAGCAGTGTCTAGACAAGTTTGTTTGTTTATACTGGTTTGGAAATAAGCAGGATCATCACGACCACAAATTCTTTCTAAAGTGCTTTCTATAAAGTACATCTGATATTTCAAGGGAAGTGTAAGGCCTTTTGACATATGTAGATTTTACCAAAAACCCCTCTGTGGTGGTGTTTTTGTTTCCCCCCCCCCCCCAATAGGAAATGCCCTAACAGGTAGGTGCTTTTAAATATTCCTTTACAGAGATATTAACTGCGGATTAACATATGGTTACTCTAATGTCTTACTGTTTATAATAGTGAAAAATCTGATAAAAATGAGGACAAAAGAAAAGAGGCTTCTGAAGTAGGTCCAACTTTGTTGTTAATTTGCCTTATTTACAATATAAGGTTGTGTGCTAGCAACGTAATCTCTGGGAATCCTGCTTCATGAGCTGAAAGGGCTGTCTTAAATCTCTGCCCCATAGCTAGAGACTTCAATGTACTTCTTATGTATTTGGTTTTGAAATCATTTAGTTACTAGTACCAGTTGATGTGATGCTTCAAATTTGCAAAGACATGGGATCACAGTTCTGTAAAACCCATCTGATAATTGCAGTCTTTCGCTATTGAAACAAAGCAAAGAGACCTTAAAATCTATCATGATGAAGTGCTTGCATGTTGACTGCAAAGTGCTGGCACGTCATATTGTGTTGATGGCTCTTGTTTTCCCGTTTCTTAAAAGAATTTTTAATCTGCGTTTTCCACATTTCTTTTTTTGAGAGGCCAACATGTGATGTTGTAAACTTTTTCCTACAGCCAGTAGAAAAAGGAGAGAAGTATGCATAAAAATGTCTTCTTAAAATTACTGGTTTCTTAGAAGTATGCAGTCAGCCTTTCTGCTTTCCCCTCTTGCATGAAGAGACCACCAGAAGCTTGCAGGTAGAACACGTTCAGTAGCTGTCAGCCGGGCAGAAGAGCATGAGAGTCTGGAAACCAAACACCAAGCCCAGGAACATGATGGGAAGCGAGCAAGCCACAATTGTAATAACCCAAAGATGTTGCATCATCACAAAACAAAGTCTTGTGGCCCATGCTCCTAAACCTCAAAACCTGGTGAAATTTTAAGACTCTCCACAATGAGAAATAATAATTTTAAAGGGGTTGTATACTGTTTGGTGATATTTCCAGGGGAGAACATGCACTTGATGAAAACGGTACTGCAAGGGCAAAATTACAGCTTATATCTAAAACTACAATCCTGAGCTAAAGAGCCAAGGAGACTCGCAGAGGAGATGGGATTCTGGGACTGAGTATGTTTCTGTGCAAATATTGATAAAATGGGTGTTACAGGGAATGAGCAAAGTTGCAAAAGAACTTACTCAAAGCTGACTTTGCTGGTAAGCTGTGAATTAACAGAAATGGTTATCTCTTTGTGTTAGTTTTGCTTTCTGAAGCTTTTGCTCGTCCTTGAACTTTTATGTCACTGTGAGGAAGTCTCCTGTGTCCAACCACAAAACAGCAGAAAAATATTGAAATGTTCCCAAACCCATTTATGTTGTCTAAGTGAAGTAGCTGACTTAACATTAGTACCATACATTGAGAATATGTATTTTCCTTTAAAAGGTAGTGGTAGATATTTATCCTATGTACAAGTAATGCTTCATAGCAGTAAGAAAACCTTGTCTTTTTATGTTCGTTAATAGCTAGCATAGTTTGGTGTGTTATAAGGATGGAAAACCTGATTCAAGACTCGTCAAAGGGGGATGAGTTTCCTAGATCTTCTTCATTACTTGGAATGTATTCTCAGAACTCAGTTTCGCATTTAAAAAAAAAAAAGCTAAGTTCATAGACAAAGTCTGGAATCCTGGGAGCAGTATCAATGCCTTTGTGAGCCCACGTTTATCTAATGATTCAACAGTGTGTGTGTAAAATAAATAAATAATAATATAAGCCTGTCAAAATAATATAAGCCTGTCAAGTCTTGCATACTGAGCATGAAATTCGTGCAGTTGGTTCCTCCCTTACATCTGCTCGGCTCCTCGCAGAGCTGTCTCTCACAAACCTACTGTGTTTGGGGGCTTTATTCTCACTCCGTCCATTCAGTACCAGACATGCCACATGGTATGAATTCATATAAAAATAATATAAACACTGGGGGAGGGAAATGATGAAGTACAGCTGAGTGGGACTTGTTCTAAGTATTTTACAGTTTGTTAGAAAAAAAAAAAACAGAACCTTAATTTATTTTAAAAAGAAAAATTAAAGCTATACTTAGTTTCTACTTAGAGTTAGAGCACAGAGGTAGCCAGAACTTCTTCCAATATCTTTCTTTAAAATGTATCTAAATTCTCCAGACTCTTTTGAAAGTCTCAACCCTAATCTTTGTGAAAAGACTGCTTTCGGTAACTGGTTGGATGTCATCGCATCACTTCTGTTTATTAGCAAGAAGTTTCTGTTACTACTTGGTTACCTTGAACAGAATTTAAACTGCTGCTCTGTAGCTGTAAAGCTGATTGTCTTGTTGCCAAGGATGTAACCTCTCAAATTCGGTATCAGTTTCATGTCACTGGTCAGCTTGAAAAAGCTGATAAGCTTGTGTTGGTTATCAAAAAAGACTTCCTTTCAGATTTCTTACTTAATGAGAAAGTAAATGTGAGCAAAATTATGTAGGTCTTATTGTGCTTTATTCTATTCTTTTGCATACTCTACCTTTAAATTAGTTTGCTTGGCTTTTGATCTTTTAAAAAAATTATATCAGATAATTAAAAACAAACATGTAAAGTAGAAGAAAAAAGCTAGATGCATTCTACATAAATGCAAAAAGCTTTTTGCTATTTTATATATATATATATATATATCTTAGTAAGAAAAAAAAATGAATTTACAAGATTCAGGGTAATATAAGCAGTAGATATTTACTCAAAATAAATCAATAATTGATGTTTTTTTGCAATAAATACTCTCTCCTGCCCTTTTCAGCTAAGCTTTAATAAACTCTTCTTCTTCCTTTAGCATATAGACTAAATGTTAGAGTTCAGGAGACAAGAAGAACATGCACTGCTGTGGGGTGCAGGAGTCCGGCAGCTCAGGAAAAATATGCAGCAGACTACAGCCCCTTTCTTGAGGCATCAACACAAACAAGAAACGACAAATGCTTCTTTGATTTAAGTTTTCTTGCATTAGCTCATTGAGAAGACTGGACAAAGCCTCTTTAGAAACAGATTCTTTCTGTGTGTGTCCTTAGGTGCCTCAGTCTCTCTGCATCTTTAAAGCACTGTACTCAAGATATGGTTGTCTTTGAAGTTAGAATCTGCCGTTGACTATGTAGAATGTGTTTTGGAAGAATGAATTGTGTGAGCTGAAGGAGTGGAGTATTGAATGGGATCCCACACGAAGGAGCAGTTGCCTGACTGCAGTTTTCTTCAAAACAGTCAGGTGTGTTTGTGTTTCTTAGGTTTCTAAACATTATTCATGATTTTTGAGAAACAGCTGGCTCCCTCCTACCCTGACTCCCTGGAAACTACAGTCAGGTTTGACAAACCACAACCAAGGCTGCAGTCATCAGCAAGGCTCTGCTTCTACTCATCAGAAGGTCTCAAAGTACTGGAAAAGATTGCTTTTTAAAGGAAACAGGCTGGTGTAAATGAATTGGTATTCAGTCCAAATCCAATATTGACGTCCTTGGGGATCTGTGCAATTGTTGATAGGAGAGTGCTTCTCTGGGGCTGATTCAGACAGAACTCCTTGCTGAGAGTCAATGGGGTGTTAAGACTTTTTGACACTGATCTGATCTTATAAACAAACTAAAGACTTGATGTGGATAAAGTCATCGTTTGGTGGTTACAACTAAATAAAAATTGCTTTTAGGATTATTTTTGTTTTAATGGCTTTATCTCAAAGTGGATGGTCTTTCAAGCAGAATCTGTCAGGGGGCCGCGTCACTCTGTCTTCATTATTAGCTGTGGAAAGAATGCAGGGCTCTGTGTATACAGCACTAACCTGAAGTGGATGGCACGGTGTGAAAAGCTTAGAATTCAAAATAATCTTAACAAATCTGGTTACAAAGGGATGTGTAAGTAATATTCAAGGTCTTGTTCATCTCTAATGATGAGGACTGTCCTTGGGCTTTCTGGCTTCCTGAGTCTAACGGCAGAACTGGAGGAGGTGAAGCATTATGTGTGGTACAGAAGGTCGAGCTAGGTTTGCTAGCTTAAGCAAATCTGATCTACAAAAAATTATGGGATTGAGTATACAAGCATACTGACAGAAGCTATCTGCTATCATTACAAAGTTATTCCCTGCCATCTTTGAAAGGTCGTGGTGATTAGGAGAATCAAAATAAGCAGGAGAAAAAGGGGGGGGAGGGGGGGGGAGGGGAGGAAATCAAACCCAACTTCAAGAAGGGCAAAAGAAGGATGTGGGGAGCTGTAGGGATCAGACTAGCTGTGGTCTTTGGGATGATTATGGTGCAGATCCCCCTGTGAGCCATGTTCAGGCACATGAAGGACAAGAAAGTGATGGGAGTTTATCAAGGGCAAATTAATTGTCCTTATAGTGAACACTGATTCTCAGCAAGGAGTTCTGCAGTGGCTAAGTGGACAGGGAGGGAACAGTGAATGTTGTTTATTTTGACATTAGGAAAGCATCTGATACAATCTTTTACAAGCTTTTTGTAACCAACCTGTTGATAGATGACTTGAGTAGGTGGACTGCAAGGTGGGTAGAAAATTGTCAGGGCTGCTGTGCTCAGAGGGCTAAGATGAGGTCCAGCTGGTGGCCAGTAGTGTTCCTCACCCGCTGAAACTGAGGCCAGTCCTGACTGATGTTCTCATTAATAACTGGAGAACAGGAAGCAGTGTGTCTTCAGCAAGTTTGGGAATGCTGCCAAATTACCCAGAGCAGTTAATGAACTGAAGCACAGGGCGTGTTTTCAGAGAGACCTGGACAGTGTGAGGAAGTGGGCTGACGTGATAGTGGAGCAGGATGGAAGATGGTAGAGGAAAGCCCGCATGCTTTCCCAGGGGGAAGAAGGAGGAATTTCAAGTTTCTACATCGATACTAGGATGTAACAGTAGTCTAGGGGATTTTCCGTGAATTTAAAACAAATGTGATGTTGTGTGATATGATTTGAAGTCAGGGAAGGGAGAGAAGATGTTACCGTTTTCCAGAAACGAGCTAGAAATGCAGAATACTATGGTATGTGCTATATCTGCAAAGACAGGCTGCCCATATTCTGTGCTGGCAATGAGTTTGCCAGTAGGCTAGCGTGATTCCCTCATACCGAGAGGCTCTGTATGTTTGCTGGCCAAAGGTCGAGTCCTTTGTGAAAAGATTTCCACCAGCACCCTGCTTCCACATCTACACTGAGTTCTTCTTTTGTAGTGATGTTATTTTATTATTTTCTTTTAACAAACACCAACACATTTAATGACTATCACTTGTGCAATTTTGTATAGCTTACAGTTAGATTCTTCTTAACTTTCTGAAGTAATAATTGTATTCAGTGTTAAGAATAAATCAACATTAAAATACATTCATTGACCTGCCTTGGATTTGTGGAATGATAGAATATTTGGGGTTGGATGAGACCTCTGGAGGTAGTCTGGTCTAACCCTGCTCACAGCAGAGGCAGCTTCACAGTTGGAAAGGATTGCTCAGGATTGTAGCTCATCTGGTTTCCACATCTGGCAAGAGAGAGTTTGTTTAAATCTCGGTGGTGTGACACATTTAAGTAAACTGGCCGGTTATAATAGGGTAATGCTTCCTAAAATAAGGACTTGTAGTGCTTAGAGTAATATCATCCCTTAGGAAATAAAGGTGATCGAGTAGTATATGCACTGATTTCTTTTAAAATATTTAATCTATTACATTAAGAATGAGATTAAAACAAAGTTACTAAGTCAAGTATTCTAATGTAAAGAACTACCAGCCTGAAGTTCCTGTGGATGCAGAGGTGGTATTGATTTAGCTTGGTTTTCCAACAATTGTTTCCGGCTGAATCTGTCCGTATTCTGTGTGCAAAATGGGCAGCGCTCAGGGAGTAATGCAGCTGGCCACATTTATCTCCCCTTTATCTAGAGGAACTTGTGTGTCTAATGCTTGGTAAATCAATGCTTGTCATTTTTCTTTCTCTTACAGTCTTTTATAGGATGCTTATTGCTAGCATTATAGGTGCCTTTTGTCTATAGAGTAGAGTCAATCATTTTGTTATTCTTAAAAAAAATAATTTGAGGAAATTTGTCTTCTATTAGTACACACCTGCGACTCTGCCTGTGTTACTGTTCAAATCCAAAGAAGTTCTGACTCTTGCCAACACCGCGCTCAGTCTTTCTAAGCATGTTTGTTACTGCTAAGCATACCGCATACTTCATGCATTTCACAGTACTGGTCTGAAGTCAAATCTCATGTAAGTAGTTCGTATTTAGGATCCTATACATAGAAACATGAGAATCACTACTTTATGAAGCTTTAGGTCTGCTGTTTTTATAGTATTAGAAGACCAATCTTTACAAAAATGTAAAATGTCAGCCTTAATTCTTAAATGCATTAGACAATTAGTAAGCTGTGTCTGTGTCACAAATATAACTTGCGGTTGCCAGTGATTTGATGGACAAGCACTGTGTGGTGATACTGGCAACTGTCGCTTTCACATACTTCTGTATTTTTATAGCTGGCTTCTAACTGGCAAGCACAGATGGCCATAGATTGTGATTTTTTTGTATGTTTCTGAATTTGAGAAAACATTTGTACAGTTCTTTTTAAATTGCATTATGTAAATATCGTATGTTAACTACTGTCTATATTTCTTTTATTTTAATCCCTAAGCTTATAGCATGGGATTTTGGAACCAACCATTTAAATATTTTGTTAATAATATAAAGGGCTTCTGTGTTCAGCTTTTGCATAATTTGAATGTTTACTTTCAAGTAGTTTCTTTAAGTCAACAGTGTTATTTTGTCATATTAGTAACTTTTTAAAGTTGCTCCTGGAAAAAATCATCAGGTTGGCCACTATCAAGCCTTTCTCTTGCTGTTAATGATGGATGTTCTTCCACTAAGTTAGAAATTAATGTTTCAGTGGTACTTTTTGAAATGGTACATTCTTTGTGGTACATTCCTTTTACCTGGAGGAAACACCTCTTTCCATCTGTTGTCACAGAAACGTAGATTTCTGTTTAGCCTTACTTAGGGCACAGGCAGTAGACTCAGTTTTTTACTGCGTAGCGGTCTAAGAATGTTTTCCTAAGCCTATTTTTGTGGAAGGGCAGCATGCGAAGAAAATTACAGAGAAAGGCAGAGATTTTGTAAGTTTTTGGCTACTACTAGCCAAAAAGATACTATGAGCATGTAGTATTTAGTAACGTGGTTGTCCTGGATACTTTTTGTACTATTCCTATTCTGCGAGACTTTTCTCTTGACCTGAATGAACAGGCGTAAATGCCTAACCTGTTAGAGCATAGCAATTGTTTTCTGAAAATAAATTGTTATCCTGAAGGAATTCTAAGGGATTAATCAAATGAGTCTCCAGCAGCTGATTTAACTATATATAGTTAAATAGCTGATGTAAGTGTATGCTTGTTAACGAACAGGTGCTAAACCAGTTGTTTTAAGAAGTAACTACATAAGCAGTGCTCAGATTGTTGATAATTATTTTTTTAGTGTTAGAGGCAACATGCTGATGTCTGACTGTGCTGCTTTCCAAAAATTCAAGTTCTGAATGAATTAATTATTTGATGCCTGTATTTGTTTGTTCTGTTGCTACTGCGCAGTAACACCAGTTCTCTTTGGAAGCGCAGTTGAAACTTACCTGTGAATGTCCATTGCTTTGTTCTTTATTTCCCTTTCCTGTGCCATATGGTATTCACTTGTACACCCTGATTAAATAATTTATTGTGAACACAAAGTACTGCTCTGTAGTTGAGAGCGAGTTGAATTAATCCTGGTTATCATTCAGTTGATTGCACTGGCCTTATAGAAATTAACCGCAGTAAGCATAAAGCCTAACACTGTAATTTTGTTGAATCAAACACAGTAGAAAAGAAAACAAAAAACAGTCATAAAATTGGAAGCTAGCACATAATTTTAATACTTTTGTATCACGTAGACTTTCTCATTTGAGTGCATAATTTTAGTAGTTTTGTAGCACATAGACTTTCTCATTTGCCTTCTGTTCAGGAGGTTGTCACGTACGCTTTTAAAGCAGCAACTGTTTTAGCTAATTGACCCTCATCTAGATTTACATCTCATTTAGGGCCCTGTGCTGTCCTCGAATGGCTGCCGCAGCTGAAGTTACCTGGAGCCGTATGCAGATACCAGCACGCCCCGGGGAGCTGGGGCAGTCGGGCTTTGGCTTGCTAGCAGCTAGCACATCCTACTTATTACACTGCTGAAGCACACTAGGTTTGTGTGTGGTCATAAACGTGGTGACACGTAAAAAATCTTTGCAATGGTACAGCCAGTGACTAGGTTCTGTGACTTGTCTGAAGACTGTGATAACACCTAAGGTTGGTTAGGGCCTCAGAACTTATATTGATGGTTTTGTTTCCACAGGGCTGTGAGATACCAACTTCATACAGTCCAAAGAACAGTGGAGTAGCTCTGCGGAAAGCAACTCATGCTTTTAGAGTATCCAAATCTTCGTTTTAAAATTCATTTTCAAGGGTTGGTATCCAATCCTCTCTGATGGGTCCAGATTTTCAAAACACTGCCATGAGGTGTGAATGCATGCTGAAGGCACGGTATGGCAAGACAGTGAAGTTTTCAAGTTTGTCTTCAAAAAGTTCGTGAGAAAATTATATGACTCATGTTGGAGACAAGCAGTGTAACAAAGTGAGCAATAAAAGCTTTTTTCTTGTTCTTTTGTAAGAATAAAATGTAACTGAAATATTTGTGTCTCCTTTGTTAAAATTTTGTTTTACCAGATTTTAGCTCTGACCTGGGATTTTTTGGCTTGGGCAAGCTGGATAATTTTTAAAAAGTCTTAAGGGAGGAGAGAGATGGAAAATTTTTCCTTGCTGAGGGCAGAAAGATTTTCTGTGTGTGTTAACAATGTGATAATTCCTTCTCTTTCCCCACCTCCCCTCCAGACATTATTTCAAAGGTTGTAGGACTTTGAGGAGTGAGTTTGTCCCTATGCCACTGTTATTTCAGCTTGGCTGAAGAAAGCTCCAGAATCCAGTGTTTTATTAAAGCTGGTGTTATGCATCAGCCTTGTGGGACAAAAGGAGTGTGTTGCTAACCTCCTCTGTGGTTCCCTTTCCCTGCCCATTATTACTGACCCTTTGGAACTGGTCAGAAGCATAGGACAGACACAGAGTGCCTTTTGAGAGAGCACCCGACTGCTCATCTCCCTCTCTGGGGTGAGAGGGGCTCTGCTTTATCTCAGCTCCCAGGGCCTGGATGCAGCAGAGACGTCCTGTGTGTTTCAGGCCTCTTGCACACACGATCTGTGCATTTTAGAGCAGCATGAAACAAGCTTTCTATTGCCCTCTCATTTTGTCAGTGATAGCTTGGCCCAATCTTCTTTCCTCTTCGCTCTGGGGAAGTACAGGACCCCTTGCCTCTGTTTTAAGGCAAGGCAGTCATATAGCACTCAGCACAAGAACAATAAAAAGCTGATGGGAGCAATATAAAAACCAACGTGTATGTAGTAGTGGGTTAGTAAAGAGGCCACGTGGGCAATCTGTTAGCGCTTAATTTCTTTTAATTGGACTTTTCCCATAGCAATCCAGCACTGAAATGTGCTTGGCGTACGTGGGTCTCTGTCATGGTAACCTGCCTTGAGAGCATTTTCATGCACTTAACTTTCATCGCTTACCCAGAAAATAACCCAGCAGTAATTAACTTAGCTGCTCCTCGGTCTGTTCCTATTTAGATTCTTGGGACAGAGGAGACCAGACCAGATCAGAACCACACTAATTCGGAGGCTTTCCAGCTCATGGAGCCATCTGGAGGGGTTCATTTGAGTTCAGTGCCCTTGATTATTAGCACCGGCAACAGTACTGTCTGACTCAATACAGACTGCTAAAAAGATGGAGAGAATTCTCTACCTGCTGTTCCTCTCACTATTGTGAGTTGTCCTCCGTGGTACTTGGGCTATAACTGTAAGTTGTGGTGGTCCTGCTGGCTTTGTGCAGGGTACTGCAAACAAACAGCTGTCTCTGAAGCTGAAAGACTCAGGATTATATTTAGGTACAGACTGTAACACTTTTTTTTGTAAGTTTTCAGAGTCTTACTGGCATCCTCTAATGCTCATGAACCACTTAAGTCTCTAAGAAGACACTTTAAGGTCTTGCACTTGTTAGTTGGGTAAATCTGACTGTGAATGCAGCATACAAATGGAAATGAATGGAAATACCTCATTCCTGGGTGATTATTTTCTTCTTCATTCAGGCTAACTTTTCCCATTTAGTAAATTCAGCATCTGTTGAAAGGAACAACTAAACTAAAGCTTCATTTGCCTCAGAAGATTACCAGTTTGGAACGTACAAAGAGCATTAATTCCATACTAAACAGTACAATTATCGGAATTCCAGCTATATGACATAAATGTTTTATATAATTTTAAGTTGCTTGCTTAGTTATCTTCTTTCTGTAGGTTTTTATCTCAGGAATTCAAAAGAGTTATGATACTCTCTTGCTAGTTGATTAGAGGAATAGAATAAATCAAAGATTTCTTGGGTGACTTTAAATCAACCACTAGAAAGAAGTCTATTCATCCTCTGTATTTGATTATTTTCCATTCATCTCACTCCCGGTCATTCTTTCCTTAGTATAGGCATCAGGAACCTGAAGGCTGTAGGCAGCACTGTAAATTTGCCTATCCTTCACGAGTGAGTGCTTTTGCAATGCAACCTTCAGTGCTTGGATCTGTTGCAAACATGACCAAAAATGACAAAGTGCCACTTTCTTCTCTGATGCAGTTACCAGTTATCCCGTTTGACACCTCTTTAGGGGCAAACTGTCATGCCTTTAAAGATTTGGTGGCTTAATAGGCAATGCGTTTTAAACAGCCTAGGCAAGGCCCTACTGCCTACATCTCATTGTTGCTCTCTCCCAGACTTTTTTATCCCTTTTTAGGGCCTCTCATCTGCTGCCATAAACATAAAAATTTTACTGTATATTGGAATAGTAAAGTCAGCTCACAGGCAAGAGAGCTCTCTCGCGGATGGGAGATGACAGTAGGCATTTATTTATTTATCCAGGGGAAGGTGGAGTAGATAACTTGAGACTTGAACCAGAGCAGATCTCCAGCTTCCGAGTGATACCTAAAATTCGAATTCAGATTGGACTTTCTGGTTTGTCCTTGGCTTGCAAGACACCTAAGTCAAGACTTTATGGGATTTATCTGTGCTTCATAATCCCAACCCAGCTCTCTGCTTTTTGACCTTTCTGTGTCATTGCCTTTGTAGCACTAATTGCTTACCTGTGGTGAAGGGAAGTTGTGACCTATTATGAGGGCAGATGAACCTTACATTATTTCTTCACGTTTTAAGATTAAACAGATAGCAGTCAGTCATATTCCAAATATTTTCACTTCACTTTCTCAGTAATCATACAGAAGTCTTGTCCAGAGAAGGGCGACGAAGCTGGTGAGGGGCCTGGAGAACAAGTCCTACGAGGAGTGGCTGAGGGAGCTGGGCTTGTTCAGCCTGGAGAAGAGGCTCAGGGGCGACCTTATTGCTCTCTACAGATACCTTAAAGGAGGCTGTAGTGAGGTGGGGGTTGGCCTGTTCTCCCACGTGCCTGGTGAGAGGACATGGGGGAATGGGCTTAAGTTGCGCCAGGGGAGTTTTAGGTTAGATGTTAGGAAGAACTTCTTTACTGAAAGGGTTGTGAGGCATTGGAACAGGCTGCCCAGGGAGGTGGTGGAGTCACCATCCCTGGAAGTCTTTAAAAGACGTTTAGATGTAGAGCTTAGGGTTTATATGGTTTAGTGGGGACTGTTAGCGTTAGGTCAGAGGTTGGACTCGATGATCTTGAGGTCTCTTCCAACCTAGAAATTCTGTGATTCTGTAATTCTGTGAAGTTTTATCAGTCAGCATTTGGTGATGAGGATTCAGAGCATCACGATTGGAAATGCCAGAGCCTTTCAACCAAAGGTCCATTTATGATCTCCAGTGGGTCTCACAATGTGCCTGGCTATCATCTTGCACTCGCAGTGAGCGTCGTCTTGATTCTGGGACATACAGTGGTTATCATTTGTATGACACAACTTGATGAAACGCATGTTATACCTTCAGATACAGTGCAGAGCAGACTTTTCAGCATTCACCCCATACACAGAATAAATACCACTTTCTCAGTCAAATTTGTGTCTCTTTTCTTTTGGCAAGTCCCAGGCAACACCTGCCAAAGAATGCTGTTTTGGTGTTGCCTACCCTCCGCACGCTTATTTGCAGATGCTGCTCTCCTGGAGAATTTCAGGCTGCTAGATGGAAGGTTTAAGATACGCACTCTGCTGTTAAGTGCAACGTTTACATCAAAACATCACATCTAGGAGTTGTTTGTTGGTTTCACTTGGCATTTTTCCTTTATATCGTGAGATCATATTCTATAATAAGAGATGGTATTATTGCTATGAAATCCTGTTTTACGAAATAGGATTTTGTGGGGCCACACAGCAATTTTAGTCCTGAAATTAGTGTACAAACAGTTCTGTTCTTGTCTTCATCATTTGCTATTGGCAGTAGCCATTTCAAAGCGGTTTCTCTGCGTTGCTGCAAGGGTGTTTTGGTGGCTTATGTTTAACTTGCTCTCCACCAGGACTCCCAGGTTGTCTTCAGGAGAGCTACGTGCCAGGCTACGTGCCAGTTCCCAGCCTCTTATTGCCATAATTACATCCCAGGTGCAGGACTTGATATTTATCTTTCTTATGAGGTCTCTTTGTTTGGTGGCACTTCCTTCTGGGGTATCTGTCTTTCCTCCAGTTTGATGTCATCCATGGGCTTGTTTAAGGTGCATTCAATTTCATCATCCAGATTAGCTATAAAGATAATGGCCAACATAAGACCAAGTATTGAACCCTGGGAAACTCCACTTGTGCCTGGTTGCCAATTTGACTTTGAGCCATTAACCATGACTCTGAGCTGTAGACAACAAGGTTCAGAAGTTCTTGTCTTCTTACACCAACTGAGTGATCCAAAGGAGTTGTAGTCCAACGTGATACATTTCTCTGGATACCAGACTGAGAACTTCTGACTAAGGGCAAGTCCCCTTCTGTGAGTTTATCACATGCAGCTGAAGTTAAAGCGGTATCTGGAACATCTTTCAAAATGATAGTAGGTATGCAAGGCCATGATATAGCTCTCTACTTATGTTTCTACTGTACAGTGTAAAAAGGAAAAAAGAAAAATTACTTGCCTGTAGCAGCTTTTTTGAGGTGCTTTTTTGTTTCCAGTCTGTAAGTTGATAGCTCATCCTTCTATGCTTCTTTATAAATAAGTTCTTTAAAAATAAATAAATAGAGATTCTGTCCTTAAGACTTGTGACAGGTGAACAGACCCTGCTCCTTCCGTTAAAGGTGTGTTTGCAGCACTGAATTTGAGACAAGTGTTTGATGTTGGTAAATTACAATTCAAAGCAGTAATGGCTCTCTGTAGGTACACAAGGTATAATGATATAACAATACATGTACAGGGTGTGCTATCTATAAACTTACAAACTTCGCAATTTTAAGTTGTTTTTTAAAGAATAAGTTCAGCAAATATTATTTACCTTTCTTCATAGCAGCCTTCTTCAGAGGCAATGTGCAATTTCAGTTCTTGTTAACTGCAGTAGATCTGTAAATGAGGTGATCTGGATCTGGTGCATGGTATGAGGACGTTAAGGAGTCACAAACAATCTTAAGGCAGCAACCAGTTGTAAATGGGGCTTGATGTGTTTCT